CCAGGTGCCAGTGGCTCACACCTGTAATCCTAACTACTCAGGAGGCTAAGATCTGAGGACAGTGGTTCAAGCCAGCCTGGGCAGGAAAGTCTGTGACTCTTATCTCCAATTGACCACCAGAAAACCAGAAGTGGCACTGTGACTAAAGAGGTAGAGCGCTTACCTTGAGCTGAAGGGCTCAGACAGTACCCAGGCCCATAGTTCAAGCCCTACAAACAACCAAAAAAAAAAAAAAATCCAAACCCATGTTTCAACCTCTTTCAATATGGCTGCTTCACAGGTCATCTCCCAAATCTGTAAGAGGAGTGACTGTAGCATTTACAGGCAAAAGTTAAAGAAATTATCTGCAAAAAGTAAGAAAGACCAAGGTGAAATCCTATGGGTATAGATTAAGACTTAAATATTGAGACTGACACCCTGCAGTGCATGCTCTACTGTGCCACTAATAGAGGCAAAGAAAAGGTGCCTGTATCCCTATTTAAGCATTTTGTTTTTTCCCTTCCCCTCCCCAAACTGGAGAAGTGTACATACAAGATGCAGGGCACCGACATCAAATACAGTGAAAACGGGATATTCCCTGGGGGAGGAACATACAAAGAAACAAAAAAAATCACATGGTACATTATAAATATGTTAGGAACAATAGCAAGAAAGAAAAAAAGACTTGTGTCCCTATCTTTTTTTTTTTTGTCAGTCGTGGGGCCTGAACTCTGGGCTTGGGCATTGTCCCTCAGCTCTTCAGCTGAAGGCTAGCACTCTACCACTTGAGCATCAGCCCCACTTCTGGCTTTTTCTGCTTATGTGGTGCTGAGGAATCGAACCCAGGGCCTCATGCATGCAAGGCAAGCACTCTACCACTGAGCCACCTTCCCAGCCCTTGTGTCCCTATCTTGGGGTTCATTTCGCCTAACATCATCTTATCTGGCCATATGTACATAGCTTTGGACTTTTTCTGCTTGTCCCAGACATATACTAGTTGTTGCAAATAAGGGAAACCATAGGACCTATGTTACTTTGGGCCTGGCTTACTTCACTTAACATAATTTTTTCCAAGTCTTTCCATTTCTTAACAAATGGGGCAATGCCATTCTTTCTGATGGAGGCATAGAATTCCATTGTATATATATACCAAATATCTACTGAGGGGCATCTGGGTTGGTTCCATATCTTAGCTATGGTAAACAGTGCTGCAATAAACATAGTTGTACTGGTAGCTTTAGTCTGGCCTTGTTTGTGATCATTTGGGTAAATGCCCAAAGTGGGATTGCTGGGTCATAGGGGAGCTCTATGTGGAGTCTTTTAGGAACCTCCATACTGCTTTCCAAAGTGGTTGAACAAGTTTACACTCTTACCAACAATGTGGTAGGGTTCCCTTCTGGCCACATCCCCTCCAGCATCTGTTGCTATTAGATTTCTTGATGATAGCCATTCTAACTGGGGTGAGGTGGAATTTCAATGTTGCTTTGATTTATATTTCTTTTATGGCCAAAGAGGTTGAGCATGTCTATTGTCCATTCTTATTTCCTCTTCAGAGAAGTTTCTCTTGAGATGTACAAGACACTATGTTGAAAAATGAACTTTACAATTTAGGTGTGTGTGTGGTGGGAAGAGTATAATTGTGGAGGTGGGAGGGAAGGGAGGATAGGGGGAAAACAAAGGAGGAGGTAACAATGCTTGATATGAAATGTGCTCATTACCTTGCTCATGTAACTGTAACCCCTCTATATAGTATTTTTACAATAAAAAAAATAAAAAATAAAAGAAGAAGAAAAGGAGCCTGATTCCTGAAAGTCTCTACAAAAGCTTATGCATAGCTAATGTGTTCTGAGGGCAAGCACAACGTCTGATCATTCCAGGAGATCAATGAGTAAAAGCTGTGAACAATTTAAATCATAAACATAAAACATGGGATCTTGCAGTTAACATAGCGCTCATCCTACAGGGCAAGAGAGAAATGATCAAGATGTTGTAGCCCAACTGTAGCTCCCTAACTTTTCTATTGAAGAAGCTAGGAGGAGACAGGAGAACCACAGAACTGCATCTGTTCAATGTTTATAACAAAACTGCCAACTCTTTGTAATAACAAATCTGTTACTCTGCAACTATGCTGAAGCTAGGATTTTGAGCACCCACAAGAATTATATAAAATGTGAGGGAAAAATTATCCTTTTGGCAAAGCAACATACCTTCTTCTGATTTCCACATTCTAAATGTTCAAAGCCAGTCTTTGGGAGATTTGTTCTGTGGAGCTCTTCTTTGGTACAAAGTTCATCACAGAAACGTGTGTTCTAACATAAATGTTTCTAAGCCCACATCGAAGCTCACACAAAAAATATGATGACTAGCCAATCAACTGAAAAATATACCACTTTTGTCTTTTATTTTCTTCTTCTTCTTCTTTTTCTACATGCATACGCCAGTCTTGGGGCTTCAATGGAAGGCCTGAACACTGCCCCAGAGCTTTTTGGCTCAAGGTTGAAACTCTACCACTTGAGCCACAGTTCTACTCCTGAATTTTGGGTAGTTAATTTGAAATAAGCGTGTCAGGAGCTTGCCTGCCTGGGCTGGCTTCAAACTATAATCCTTAGATATCTGCCTCCTAAGTAGCTACCATTACAGGCATGAGTCTCTGCTTTAAGTGTGTGTGTGTGTGCCAGTATACCATAATCATTAGACATGGTTGAAAAGAAAAAAAATGTGTCAAGTCTGAAATTTTCATTAAGAAAAACAGATGTTCAAGCCTGTCATTAGTAATTTATGCCTATAATCCTAATCTACTCAAGAGGCTAAAATCTGAGAATCACAGTTTAGAGCCAGGCCATGCAGACAAATGTAAAAGACTCATCTCCAATTAGTCAGCAAAAAGCTGAAAGGGAAGGCATGGCTCAACTGGTACAGCACCAACTGTGAGAGGAAAACAAGCAATAGGCCCTGAGTTCAAACCCAGTATTGGCAAAACACAAAAAAAAAAAAAAAAAACACACAAAAACAATATTTAGAAGAATATTTAGAAAATATTCTTAGCTGAAAATAACCAGATTTTTTTTCACCCTATACCATTTTTCATCACACTAGCATGGATATGACACAGGGAAGAACTCACAAATTAGTGCAAGAGACTTAAGAGCCTAAACAAACTACTTGACTTTTTTTATTTTGTATTTTTAGTACCCAGTTAATTACTAGGTACACACACACACATACATATATACATACAAGATATATAAATATATATATATGTAGATATGGAAGTGGACAAGGTATAGATTAATAAAATCACTTGTAATACACATGGTACATGAATATGTATTCACATATTCACATACAGATACATGAAGACATGCACATATGTTTACTTTCAACATCTGTAATGTTCCTAGTGGGAAGAAAACGATTCCTTAGACCTAAGAACTAAAAGTTCTTGGGCAGATGCTTTAAGGATCTGGTGGGAGGATTTTAGGTGGCATCCTAGTGTACTAACAACATGACCTCTGAAGATTGACCTTTGGCACTAGTAGAGTTGCCAAGATGACTTCACGATTCCTTCCTCAAGTCTCCCAACCCCACAAAGATCAAAATGTGGGAAATTAAGGATACTGTTTGTGTGCCTGTACTGGGGCCTGAACTGAGAACTCAGCACTTCATGCAGTCCCCTCAGGTTTTTGCTTAAGGTTGATGCTCTACCATGCGAGACACAGCTAGCTCCACTTCAGGCTTTTCGGTAGTTAATTGGAGATAAGAGTCTCGTGGACTTTTCTGCTGGAGCTGGCTTCGAATCAAGATCTTCAGATCTCAGCCTCCTGAGTAGCTGGTACTACAGGTGTGAGCCACCAGGGCCCAGAGGAAACTGCTTTTTGATGCAAATCCACAGCAGACCGGGTCATTTTTGTACAAAACCTTCCTGAGTGACTGAGGCCTACTGTGGAACCTCCACTATTTTAAACAAGTAGAAAATGCTGTTGTTGGTGGTCATTTTCTTCCAAGGATTTGACAAGAGATCATCTCCCACAACCAGCTCAACGCTGCAAAAATACAAAAGGTCTAAGAGAGGCCAAACGACTGGCCTAAGAGCTCACGGCAAGTCTATAAATGCCTAAGCCTAAACACATCCGGAAAAACAAGTATTCTCAGACGCTGCCTTCGCCCCATTGTCCTAGGCAGAGGTCAACGTTTGCGAACGACAGAGAAAACAACTGCGGATTGCAGATTGAGAAAGGATAGGAAGTGGTTATTAGCAAATCCCCGGGCCGGGGTTGGAGGGGGTGTTAGGGGGGAAGGGATCACCTGCTTTCCTGCCTCAAACCAGTGCGACTAGCCTTTCCTAAGCACATCAAGGGCGGGTGGGCCATTGTTTTCAGAACCAGCTGTGAAGACTGAGCACAGCCAGTGGCCTTGGAACAGCTGCGCCTGCCGCCTCCCGGGGGAGGGGGAGCGGCCTGGGGAGGTAGGGGGAGCTCGGCGCGCAGGGCGGCAAAGGGAAAGACCCCGCCGCGCCCCCTCCCGGCAAACGGGGAAGCACGGATACATACAGCGGAAGCCGCGGACTGGGGCCTCCTTCTGCACCCACGGAAAGTGCAAACGGCTCGCCCCAGGCTCCAGACGGGGCGCAGGGATGACCCGCCTTCACCAAAGGCTGACGCCTTTCCCACCCCTACCCGCTGGGAGGCTACGACTGCCAGCCTCCGCCGGCAGAAGTGCGCGCCACCACCCGGTACAGCGACCGGGAAAAGCGGTGGCCATCGGTGACCGAGCAAAGTCCGTGGTAAATAAGCTCAGTCCAGCTTGCGTCCCTTCCTCCCCCCTTCCATTCCCCCCCTTCCCCAACACACTGCGCGCCCCATCTCCCAGCCCGCATTTCCCACGCGCGCCCCGCGCACTCCGCCCCGCGGCCCTGGTCTCCCCACTCCCGACCTGGTCCTCCGATCGCCCCATCTTTCAGCCTGACCCCCCCCCCTCGGCATCCCCGCCCTAACCCCGGCGGCTCAGAACATCACACTCACCATCTCTTGGCGAAGGAGGTGAAGCTTGGTTTCCAGCCTCTCCAAGGTGCCGGAGTGGCTACGTCGTGGGGAGCTAGAGGTTGGGGAGGACGAGGAGGAGGAGGAGGAGGAAGACGAGGAAGGGGGGAAGCTGCAGTTGCTACTGCTATTGCTACTGCCGCAGCCGTCGCCGCCTCCGCCGCAGCCGCCCCCGCGGGGGTCCCGGTCCCTCTCCCTGGGAACCGGCTCCTCCCCACGGAGGGAGCGCGCCAGGCTCTCGGGTACTTTGCGCCCCAGCTTCAGTTCGATGTCTCTGAGGTCCGGCAGCGGGCCGTCTTCCATGACTTTCTTCAAGATCGGCGATAAGGATGATAATACACGTAGGAGCCGAGGAGAGGCAGCCAAGGCCTCCAAGGCGGCCGCGAGATCACCAGACCCTCGGTCCCTACCTTCCCTCCCGGGGCCGGGTCTCTTAACCTCCGCGCACCCCGGGCGCCGTCCGCCCCATAGCTGCTAACGCAGTGTCCGGCCCTGGGATCCGTACTGGCGGCGGTCGGGCTCCGCCGCAGCCACCCCGGCCTCTGCGACGTTGTCTCCAACACTTGCTAAAACCACTCAGGTCGCTTCTTTCTCCTCCTCCTCCTCCTCGTCCTCCTCCTTCTTTTCGGCCCGTTCCACTGCAAAGTTGAGTTAATTGATGTTGCCAGAAGGATTTATGGAGGGAATGGGGAAAGGGTGGAGGAGGCAAGTATCTTTATACCAAAAGAAAAGCGAAGGGAATCAAGCCTGCTTCAGCATTCTAAGAGGGAGGGAAAAATCATACTTAAAACTGACCATTCACATCCCTGAGCCATTCACTGAGCGTCCATCTGGTAGCTTGCGACATGAAAGAACGCTGTGGCCACACTCTCCGGTCGTTTCATTTTCGAGTCATATGTCTCCAGGCGTTTGGGATATCCTGGGTTGTCAGAAATAATCTCTGGTTAGTGGAAGAGGAGATTGGTCGATCGGTTAGGTTTGGAGGCCGCATGGACCCATCAAAAAAATAAAAAATAAGAAAGAGAGAGAGACGGTAATCTTGGCAGAAGTTTAACGGCTTCCTGGGGGCAGAATAAACACCCTCCTTCTCATTTAGACTGTTTGATCCAAGTCATTGTGTTCGTCTGAGCCTCGGAAACTTTAAACTCCGCTGGCAGGTGGACCAAACCAGGGCCAACCCCTCTACCGTATGTCGCCAATAAGAAGAGCAATAGAAATTCCCTCAACCATGCAGCTAATAGCAAGAGTTTCAATAGCCTGCTTTAAGTTGAGAAGATATCAGGTTTTCAGTTTTACAGGAGAAATACCAGCCTAGTACCTACAGCATTCCCAATTTAAAAGGGGGGAGGGGGAGGAGAGCAGAAGAATGACTAAATTTGAGATCCCTTCCTATCTCTCCACATCTTTCCCCAAAACAAACACTTAGCTTTACAAGCCTTTCCTAATAAGTTCACAAAAATAAGAGGAATGGAGGGATTTAGCCAAAAGCTGAATGAAAATGTACAATGAATCGTGACTGTCATAGAAATTTTCAGTATGTCATTGGATGCTGAAGTCAAAGAATTAAACAGCTTATATGACTACAGGCATAACTGTAGCTGTAGAATTTTAGGAAGGGGGGAGGGTTGTTCAGCTGCTGAGATACATCTGTTTTAATTATGGAAGAAAAATGCAGGGAATAACTTGTGAAAAAGTTATCTGCTTTAATCATTTATCTATAATTTCAAACTATTTAACAGAAACTCCAGTTGTGCAAATTTTTAATCAGAGATGCTTCTAACATCTAAATTGTTACACACACTACATAGATTAAAGGATTGATTCTGCATGGAGTTTGTGTTGATGAACTTCAAGTAAAAGATATGATTTTCAACCCAGTAAACTACAATTTTCTGGTTCAATTGCAGTATTTCAGAGTTCTAGCCTCTCTGTTATTGGGTTTGGGACACAAATAAATATTTTATGTTCTTGGTCTTCCTTCCCAGACTTCATAATCAAGACCATCAGTCAGGTAGATGCATTCCAGAATATGTTTTAATCATAGCCTCATCTAGGAAACCATCTAAAGAGAGAAAACATGGACCTTCTGCATGAGATCTTCCACATCAGGGAGAAAGTTGAATATCATCTCTTGTCCACAAGCCAGTAATTTTCATGTTATTTTTTGTTTTACTCTTAAAAAGAAATGACAAACATCGTCATACATTAGGTGGCCCAATTCAAGGTTAGAACCATCATTTATGGAATCAAAGGAAAACAAAATTAAAACTCAACTCACTGATAAAACAAGTTTGTCCTAAATTTGGAGAACCACAAGGTCATGGCATAAGAATTGTCCCATGACATGTAATTATGAGAGGCTTGTGTTTCAGTCAAGCTTTCATTATAAAACCTTTACAAAGTTCAGCATAGGCCTGGTGAGAATAGCAGCTTACAGATACAAATCTAGCTTGAACTTGGTCAATAAAAAAAGCATTTATTGTTTAAATGATCATCATTGTAACTATAAAAATGGGGCATTTTTACTATGAGTCACAGATAGTAAAATTGGTACTTGATGCTAAAGATAATCTAGATCTATGTTTAGGTGTTCTGCCGTATGAAACATGCCCCCATCCCTTATTAGTTATTTTTCCGTAAAGAGCCAACTGTTTCTGCTCTCAGAGGGAGACCCTCACACTTACCTACTGCCCTCTGAAGCTGCGAACGGGTGAGTCACCCCTTCTGCTCTTTTCTTGCTTTTGTAATAAGCAGAAAAGAAAAAAAAATCAACTTTGATAACAAAGATATGGCATCTATGTATAATAATCTGTTCCAGTAAAATACAGAACAAATATAAGCTTAAAGAAAAGCTTGGCTATATTCTTTTTTTTTTCAGTGTATTTCTTTATGACATTTTACTTTAAAATAGAGCCATTAGCCCTCTTAGCTAATTTTTAGAAGCCAATAAAGTCATACAATTTTAATTATTTGTGCTAACACTATTACTGCTTTGTGTGGTCTGATCTGGTACTTTTATAAGACATTACTTGTCCAAAGTATTTGAAAAATAAAGATCATCTTCTCATTAGGTCTTAAGTATAGTTTTTGATGGTTATCAAGATCCATCTGTGAGAAAGTTATGTGAGTAGTTTTACCAGTTTGCCGATTGCTGTCACCTGAAGTGTTAATTAATCAAGTGTTGCGATTTGGGGAATTCTTTGACAGTACCCTGCAGTAATGTGTCCAGATGGGAGCTTGGGGTGGAGTGAGACCTGCAAGGAGTAGAAAGGGAACAGAAGAAAGATAGCTAAAGACCAAGACCAAGAGGGAAGGCTCTGAGATTCTCAGTGTTAGCTGTGTTCCCTTCCTGTGCTTCTCTATCTTACCATCTTCAGGGCTCAGGGTGTTTTACCAGGACAATAAAGAGTAAGACTATAAAAATACTCATTTCTTGCGTTTGTGATGCAGTGTTTTATTCTGTATTATACTTTCTCTTGAGATTGCTAAGGTATGTTAGATAAGCCTTTGTTTTTTTTGTTGTTGTTGTTGTTTTTCTTTTCTTACCTAGACTGCACAGGGGATCTAGAACAAATGTTAAACCATAGAAAACTTTAAGAGGCTATGTTTCTTCTCACTCAGCGTGTGCTCACAGAAAATGAAAAGGAGCTTCTTATTTATTTTAGAAAAACCCTAGTGGTTAATTAAATAGGAACGTTGTTGGACTCAGATGACACGTTTTCAAAGAATGTCTCAGTCACAACAAACTGAGGTGATGCATGCTTCATACATTCCACCCACAGCACCACCCAGTAAAAGCTCCAGATCTTACAACAAAAGTGGACTGAGCGAGACTTGTGGAGTGTGGGTAACACCACTCCTTAATTTACTGCCAACACTGTGGTCAGAAGAAGAAAGGCCTTCCCCTTCTCTGGCATTGACTAAAAGTCTGAAGCAATCCCAGTATCTACTGGCACAGAGTTCAAGGCCTAGGGCAGAGTCTCTAACCTGAGATTCTACTCCCTGTTGTGGAGAATATCAAAAAGCCAACAGCGTCAAAATATCCTTAAGAGTACTGGGAAGTCACTACTTAATGGGTTTCAGTTTCTTTGGATCATTGTTTTAAATGTATAGAGCTGCTGCTTCTATAAATATTTTTGTTCAGCTTATAGGCATAATATGGAAGATGTCATAATAAAGCTAAAGAATGTTGACCTTGCCCATACATGGTAGAATTATATAGCAACTAAAGCTACTAAAGTTTTATCTGACCCATTTATAGAGTCATTTAATTCTCCTCTAATTTTATAGTTAGCGTGGACCTGTTTTGCATAGTGAAATCATCTATTTTATTAACAACTTGAGCAAATTGTGTATATGCCATACCTATTGCTGCCTATTGATCTATCAGCCAATCATTATCATCTATCTCTATTTCCTATAGATCTGAATGTCTCACCTTTAAAGAGTGAAGACCCTTTAAACAGTATTTACCTTAGAATCTAATTAATATTTATAATCAGAGCTAACCACTTCCCTCAGAGATTTAGCAGACAATACTAAAAAGTAGGTCAGCAGCATCTAAGACTCCTTTATCCCTCTTCACAATCCCAGTCAAATCTCTGCCTCCATTATTTGTAATAGTGCACTTTATTTTTTTGTTCTTGCTTTCCTCAGGCCCAAATTCCTAATGAAAGAGAAAAGATGTCTTCACTAATCTTGGTCTGTTTCCCTGTAGCCATTACAGCTTGACTTATAGGATGAACTATAAGTTCTTTTTGTGCTGTGTTGGTCTAAGTTTACAACTAGTTCTCTGAAAATATAGACAATTAAATACACCATGGCTGATATCAAGCTATCAATGAGAGCTGGCAAAAGTAGGCAGTAGCTAAACATTACATAGTGTTTCTGCCATGCAGATAAAATAGATATAACTGTGCTATTCATAAATAACTAAAAATATTAATTAAACATAGTCTGTGACATACAGCGGTAAAATTTAGTCTGATAATTTGGAAGTGATGAAATAGCTTGGTGATTTATTATCTTTGTTTTAGCCTCGCTAATTTAAAGCTTGTGTGATATAATTTTTGAAATAATGGTTATATCTTGCAAAGGGAAGGAGCTCCAGCAAACTGGTGTGGATGATGCTGTACACCTGTGTTTCATATTATCATTGGAGGATGTCCACTATTTTGGTTAAGTAAGGAAGGACAACTCTAACACGGAAAATTAGTACAATTTTATATCTCGGGGTTGGGCAGGGCCATAATCAGAAAAATGAGTCTCAAGGTCAGAAAGCCAAGACTAGGGAACTAAGGCTAAGCACTAAGTTGTATGTACCACAAACTGAATGGGCGTAGGTTAAAATAACAAGGATTTATTGTTTTACAGTTATGTGGGCTAGAAGTCCAAAATCAAGGTGCTACTAGGGCTATATGCTCTTGTTGATGTCTCTAGGCCAGGGAGGGCCACTCCTTGCCTCTTCCAGCTTCTAGCAGCTGAAAGTGTTCCTTGGGTTATGGCAGCCTAACAAGTCACTGCACCCATCTTCAGAGAGCTGTTTTCAATTCTGGGTCTGGATCTAAATTTGTCTATAGTTAGAAGGACACCATATAAGATCAACAGCCTATTCTACTCATGCCTACCTTAATTTGGCACACTATACCCTGTTTCTAAGTAAGAGCATATTCTTTTTTTTTTTTTTTTTGGTGGTCCTGGGGCTTGAACTCTGGGCCCAGGCTGTCTCTGAATTCTTCATCTGAAGGCTAGCACTCTATCATATGAGTCACAGCGCCACTTGGATGTAAAGAGTCTCACGGACTTTCCTGCCTGGGCTGGCTTCAACCACAATCTTCAGAGCTCAGCCTCCTGAGTAGCTCGGATTACAGATGTTAGCCACTGGTACTCATCTAAGACAATTAGTCTTCAGAAGTCTTGGGAGAAAGAAAATGAGGAATAAAAGTTTTTATTCATTTTGAATCAAAACAACTATTCTATGCAAATACACATAAAAAGTAAATGGTATTTTGAGAAGTTAAAAAAAAAACCTCAAGAATTGTCTAATATAAAATCGCAGATAATAGTCTTATGAATTAAG